AAAAAAAAAAAAAAAAAAAAAAAAAAAATTCTTTTTTGAATACTTATTACGAAAATAACCTAATGGAAAGTAAATCAAATATCTCAGGTGAAAATTTCAATCATAAAAATTGTTCATATTGTAATAAACCCTTTACTGAAGAATTATGGTGTAAAAAATGTGATCCATTTAGAATAATGGAAGGATGGACCAGTGGAAATTCTGATATTGATGAGTTTATAAAAGATACAATGTATAATGCAAGGGATAATGAATATGCTTTTCTTAAATGGGTACCATTTGATAGATTTACAGATATAAAAGAAATTGGTGAAGGTGGATTTGCCAAAATATATTCTGCAACTTGGATTGATGGTCAATCATATTATTACAAACAAAGTGATGTATGGAAGTTGGAAAAAAGAACTTAAACCTCAAGAAGTCGCTTTGAAAAAGCTAAAAGGATCACAAAATATGTCAGATAATTATTTAAATCAAGTACGTTTTTATACTATTTTGTCTTATTTAATTTATTTCATTGGGGTATTTAATAGTATTAAAATATTTTGTTAAAATATAGCTTGAAATACATTGGGAAATTACTGACGAACTGGGATTAGAATTTACTAAAGACCCAGAAACTAAAGAATTTACATTTAGCAATTTATTACCAAAACCCGTTAATTCATCCATTATTACTTCATATGTTAATAATGAATGTATTTTTTATTTTTAAAAATTTTATTTTACTTAACTTTATTGTCTCAATAGTTTGTGACTCTCAATTAATCGACTTGGAAGTATCTAATTCAATATAATTAAGAGGTACTATAGATATTGACGATGAATGTAAGGTTGATGATTTAGTGAATTAAATATTATTATAGTATAACAATATAATTGGTAGCTTAATTTCTTGTAATCCTATGATAGAATTAGGTGACTTAAAAACTTTTATATACATATATATATATTAATAAACTTATGCATGTTTAAAGTTAATATACTGTATAATTATTATTTGTAAAATTTCGTTTCCAAAAACAAAAGTTTTCTTGACATCAAAAATTTATCATGTGAATGTTTTTGATATAGCCATAATTCAATTCAATTTTAATTTAAAACAAGTCAGAAATTTGTTCCAAAAGTATCGATTCAACAATTATTTCAGATCAGCATGTTGAATTGATTTCGAAATGGATAGATAAATTGGATGATGTTAATGGAAACTCTTGCTTCTATGACTTCAAAATCAAATTCGTTATATGAATTCAAGTGGACCTCGTGATGGACTAACACCTGATGAATTCTATGAAATTTGCGATAATCAGTCTTTTACTGTAACAGCAGTTACTAAAGTGAAAAATAGTAACGAAATTCTTGGAGGGTATAATCCAATTTCATGGTATAACAAATCCGACATACGGCATCACTAATGATAGTTTTATATTCTCTTTTAAGGATAAGAATGATTATATTTTGAGTCGTGTAAAAGATCCAAAGTTTGCTATTGTTAATAGCACTTTTTATGGTCCAACATTTGGTAATGGTGATTTTATATTAAGAGGAAACAACTTTTATAATAGTAGTTATTGTAGAAACATTCTTATGAAAGAGCAATTAGAGAAACTGAAGGAACATTTTCGGTAAAAGAATATGAAGTATTTCAAATCGTAAAAGATTTATTCTAAAGAATTACTTTATATTTAACTTATTAGAAATTTCTCTTATTCGGGAAATTAGTGAATTTTGATTTTTTTTTATTACGCTCTGATAGATTTTATTATCGCCGTTTTCAAAATGATGTACGCAGTTAAATTTGAATAAAAAAAAAAGAAACCCGAAAACCGGACGAAAACCGGATGAAATATGGATAAAAACCGAATGAAAACCGGGCGAATATTGGTATTCGAATATACAATTACAAATAAACTGCGTACACTATTTTGAAAACGGCAATAATACTATTTTTTTTTTAAAAAAAAAATAAAAAAATAATAATAACATGCAGATCTTTGAGTTAAAACACTTTTTTTTAAATTTTTGGTAGCTAAAGTAATTATTAAAATAAAAAAAAATAAATAAAAAATTAATTTAAAAATTTAATTTAGGCGACACAAAGTGGTAAAAATGGTTTTCATAGTCCGGCCTAGAGCTCCGAATGGGTCAGGTCAGGTC